GTTCATAGCGTTTTCTGCTCGTTTTGTATTTTGGTGTAGTTGCAGTCTGCGGAAAGGTGTGCCCTGGAGTAGTCACTGCTGTAGTGTTCAATGAAGAAGGTGGTGCTGTCTGTGTTGCCGAGGCGTTCTGTACATCTTCTGCATCTACATCAGCATTTTCATCTTCTCCATGGCCGCGGTCGTCCAAATTTTCGGTTTCTACATTTCCAGTCCTTTCCTGATATATATTTGAGTTAAATTCGGCAGTCTCATAATGTATGACGTCAATATCTTTCACATTAGACGACGTTTTGGCAAATGCCAAAAAAGGACGGAAAAATTCCATGTAGTCAGCCCACTGCCATTTCTTTATGTTGCCCACTGCTTGGCCGGTCTTTGGTTTGGTAGATTTTATATATTTTGCAAATGTGTCTCTGATATTCTTCCACCTTTTTTTTACTTCATCACCTAAAAACGAGTTGTATAGATTCCTTGCCACTGGTGACACCTTCTATACCGTTGGGCATAGCTTTCGAGTTGGCTTTACAACAGTGAGTGCAATCGTAACCGAAGTCTGTGAAGCGATATGCAGACATATGGAACATATATATTTACCAGAACCAACAGAGAATATATGGAAAAAATGTGCTGAAGAATTTGAAAATAGATGGGGATTTCCCAATTGCATTGGCAGCGTGGACGGTAAACATGTAACAATCAAGAGACCTAACAACAGTGGCTCCAATTACTGGTGCTATTTACATAAATATTCAATAGTACTTATGGCCATTGTTGGCCCGGACTATAAATTTATGTGTTGATATTGGTGGTTTCGGAAAAAATAGTTAAGGGGGTATTTTCAAAACCTCAAACATGGGAAAACGATTTGAACAAAATTTAATGAGTGTCCCTGCACCTAGATTTCTCCCTGGGCAAAATGAAATCTGCTCGTACGTCTTAATTGGTGATTAAGCATTTGCTTTAAAACCATACCTTATGAGACCATTTCCTTATAAGCAGACTTTAACAGACGTCAGAAAAGAGAAATACAATGTAAGACTTTGTCGAGCTATAAGGGTCGTGGAAAATGCGTTTGGTATTTTGCCTCAAAAATGGCGAATATTTTACAGGCCATTAGAAACTAAAGTAGATACTACTATTCTAATTGTACGTACGGCATGTGTTTTACACAATTTTTTACGAAGTAAAAGTGGCGATGACAAATATTTTCAATTCTTAGATCCCCCAGAACCCGTGCTTGGAGCTTTTACTGATATAGCAAATGATCCTCGGCGGGTAGCAAGGCTAGCATTTTCTACTCGTGACAAATTCGTAAATTATTTTAATTCTGATATGCCTATGCCCAATATATAGAATGTTCGTTTTCACATTTGTGTAGACTGTAAATTATTTAACAAGTTAATCAAAAATATTAGGTACATACCATTTGTATTTAATTCTTTTCCTATTTCCATCCAAATCTTGTCTTTCTTTCTCACATTCCTGTATTCATCGTTCGACAAATCATACAAACAAGGATACTTTTTCACTATTTCTATCAATAATTCCGTTTTTGCCATTGCGAATTTTTGAAGAACGGCATCAAAAACGCGGTCAAAGGCGAACTGAAATACGCCGCGATAAAAACGCTGGAACAATCGCATTCGCTTCGCACAAGCCTGAGCCTGTCCGTAAACCGCCGCGTTTTAATCTGATCGCGAACTCATCGCCGCGAAATTTTCGCAGCCAAAGCGAATATTTCGCGCCGGTTTGTGGGATGCTAAATGTTACATTTTGACCGTTTCGGATTGACTGACAAAAAACAGAATTCGACATTTTCGGTTTTTCGCCGATATTTCCAAATACAACTGACCGATCGTAAATCTGAAGCCGACTATCGAATGTACCAAGTTTCCTCTAAAACTATCCCTATTTAACCTTTGCAGTAGGTATAACAGGAGGCGAGTTCCCTGTACAGAGATGCGAATCTGGGACACACTGTATGTATACCTCTGAAACAAGATATGATACCTACCTACAAACTGTTGCTAAGGCAAAACTAGAATGGCGATTAGTGTTTCGGGTACCGATCACTCGGCTTTATTAATTTTAATACACTTTCAATAATTGCCTGTTGCTTTGCTATGGGTGGACTTCACCATTTCAAATTAACTGTCCGTTATTCTCCACCTACAGGGTAACAGTCTGCCAAATACAGCGAATGAGTTTCATCATCCAATCAACAAATTTCAGCAACCAATACCTATGAAATGTTGAAAAAAAATATCGTCAAAGTATGAGATGACAGCTTGTCCCTGAAACACCATCAGCTTGTTGAATATTAAGAAATTACATATAATTCAGTCAAAATTTAAAGAAATGTTTGATTTTTGAATAAAATTCATGTTTTAATTACTACTGTTGATTTGTTATTCATGCTTATATTATTTTCTTCAATTGATATGCGGTCTTACTGATTTAACATCACCTCCCGTGTTTTTTTCCTATAAACATCTTGCAGATAGCCATTAAACACCTACTTGATGACAGACTCTACCAAAAATTTCCTAGATATTGCTCGTTTCCAAACATTCATTCATTTACTTGCCGTGCATCAGAACCATTATCGCACCTTAGGTTGATATTGCCACAAAAACATTAAGGTTTTTTGATATCCATACATCCATAAAGTTAAATATTTTTCGTTGTTCAGGAACTGAACAAACATCCACACTCTATTTACAGCGTTTAAGAAATACCCAAATATATGTATGTCGTAGAGCTACCAGCAAACCTAAAATCTGCAAAAAAACAGAAATTTGCAATATTTTACACATTCTAGGTTATATACGAGTAATTAGACATTATTTGAATAGCAGCTGATTATTTCAAAACTCCCCATGTATGGGATCCGTCAACCCTTGGTCCCAGTCACAAAACATATACACTGAAGAAGGTTTAATTCAATGCTATTCAATGACAGCACGGTGACTTGTGTGGTTGTCAGCGGCCATTTTTGGAGGGTGCGACATGGTTGCCAGATTGTGCATTAATTTCCTGTTTCACCCCCCTGGTCCCACGCTCCCCCAACTGTTGAAATATACTCTACTATGATTTATAAGACTATTTGTGGAATTTTTCCCAAAATTGTTGCATAACACTTGAAAAAATGCAAATGGAAATTTAAAATTATTTCCAAGACGCCCAAATTAGCTGCGTCGGTACATCGGGTGATACACCTTGACAGTAGGGATGTTCGATACGATTCTATATTTAGAAGTATCGATACTTTACTTCCCATACCCGATATTTTGGTTCGATGTTTTTATATACGACACTTGGGTGTATCGATACATTTCACGAGTATCGTCATCTTTCGATCCGGACTGTGTCAGGAAGAGTGACTAACTTCAGATTACTTTTCTTCGTTTCCTTCCGCTGGATACCGATAGTTTTATTCCAATATTTTATAGTATCGATACTTCCTAAAACGATAAGAATCGATACATAACGATACTTTTCGTGGATCTAAACATCCCTTATCTTGACAGCTTGTCGTTCTTTTGAACTGGGCTTCAGGGTGCGGTGTTGCCTTTACTAGCTTACATTTTGCTAAAATCCTATGACAAATAAAAGCTTCAAATGAAATATTGACGAATATGAACGGGTATGCATAGAATTTAGAATATAAATTCATATTGCAAATTTCAGATTTTCTATGCATGGACTTGAACTGGATTTTTCGGTATTTTTACCAATAAGAGAATACAGGTATTTACCGATAACATCATTCTTCACTATTTTTCAAAATAATTGAAATATTTCTATACTTGCCGAAAAAGAGCTAAAATCAAAAATAAAGCTATAAGTTAATTTTATGGAGTATTCATAGTTTTATGCCCCATATCAATCATACATATGCATACGCACTCAGGAAGTCGGGCACAAGAGAGGCGTAGATTTGGGTTGTCTATGATTACGAACGCACATCCTCATCCCTTACTCCGTTTGCCCTGAATTGATTTTTGTGCATACAAAAGGTACAGACTGGTAGATTACCGTCATTACCTCATCACCGGTAAAGCAATAAAGAAACCGAAACCTGTCTGTTTTAAACATATACATTATTTATAAAAGTACCTATGAAGTAAAAAATTTATTATATATGTTTATAAAATTTTGTAAGTAGTAGGATGTTGGTATTCGCTTTGTGGTCGCAATACATTTTGAACTTGTAAAAACCTGAGAGTCGCAGTCTCAGAGCTTCGCTACCTTGCACTGACTTGTTCAATTCGTCACTCTATAAATACGAATGTGGGACAAATACGTTTATTCGTTTCCTGAATCTTGAAAAGGAAAGTGCTAAGAAAATATTTTCAAAAATATAAACAGAAAGTATATCACACAAATTATAGTGAGTCAGTATAATTTTGTTCGAGAGTGCTGGAGAAAAGTAAGTACATTATTTTTTATTAAATTTTAGTTTTGTACTCGTAGTTAGCAAAGATAGATAAAGTACGCCAATCATGACTTTAGTTATTAGTAGTTAAATATTCCATCATGCAAAATTACACGAGTACTCCTCAATAGTTTCTTTTTAAAAGTTTTAGCAATCGGTAATATAATTACAGTGCAATCTTCGTAATTCGAGCTAATTGTTGCAAGAAGATATTCGAATTATGGAATGTTTTCGGAAAAATCTAAAAATATTTTTAATATACAGCTGCTGGATTTTCTGTCTTATTTAAATAATTTAATTTTACCCACAGATGACTGATGTCATGTCCGAATCTAAAAAGAAATGTAGACAGTACAGTGTTGATTATTTGAAATTTGGCTTCTTTCCATCATTGTCGGACAAACAATCGCCTATGTGCCTTTTATGCAACAAAGTTTTGGGCAATGACGCTATGAAACCATCTAAACTGCAAGATCATCTGAGAAGATGCCACCCTGATAAAACAGAGAAAGATTTGAAATAGTTTCAAACACTGAGAGATAAATTTCAGAAGAGACCTACACCGGACAGAATGTTCGCTTCGACGTCACGAAATGATAATGGTTTGCGGGCGTCTTACGATATCTCGTTACTTATAGCAAAACCTGGAAAACCGCATATCGGCGAGAAGTTAATTTTGCCAGCCGTTGAAGAGGTTTTAAAAACTGTTTTACACAAACCTGCATCTGATATCATTAAAAGAATTCCCTTAAGCAACAATACTGTTGAAAGACGTATTGATGAAATGAGTTCTGATATTGAAAGCTTCTTATGTAATGATTTGCAAACGACCCATTTCTCTATACAATTGGACGAGTCAAATTTACCTGATAATGCAGCATTATTATTGGCATATGTTCGTTTTATTATGAATCAAGAAATCTACGAAGAACTGCTCTTCGCAAGAACTTTGACAACCGACACTAAATGTGAATCAATATTTCATGTTTTGAAGGATTACTTCATTGAAAAAGCAATTCCTTTATCAAATATAATATCAGTAGCTACAGATGGAGCACCTGCCATGGTTGGACGTTATCGTGGATTTATAAGCTATTTAAAACAAAATGTGTCAGGGGTGTTAGCAATACGTTACATTGCGTCATCCATCGACAACATTTAGTTGCTAAAAATTTGAGTGTTAGATTGCATGAATCACTTCATTTAGTCATTGACGCAGTAAACCGAATCCGAAGCAACGCGTTGAATACGTGGTTATTTGCGCGGTTGTGTGAAGAAAATGATGAACACTTTCATCAATTACTCCTTTACACTGAAGTACGCTTGCTGTCGAAAGGCTTATGTTTGACAAGATTTTTTGCACTTTTTGAAACTATTTTAGAATTTCTGGTTACTAAAGATAAAATTTTAAATGAAAATTTAATGAAGAGGAAAACAGACATCGCCTATTTAACAGATTTGTTTACAAAATTTAATATGGTTATTTTGCAATTACAAGGAGACAGTTTAAATTTGATTAAAACAAAGCTGCCGAGAAGGCGACGTTTCAACTTACGTTCCACATCTAAATGCCCTCTATTCAGATTTTGAATCTAGGTTTGAGGATATGTTGACTATGGTAATACCACCGTGGATAATTAATCCATATGGTGACATAGAAGAAACGAATGTCATAATGCAAGAGGAACTGACTGAACTAAGTACAAACGAAGAACTTAAGATTCAGTTTAAAAACGGATATCAGCAATTCTGGCTGCAAAACAACATACCCGTTACTTATCCCGTATTATGGAATATAGCGAGGAAATTTTTAATTTCCTTTCCATCGTCATACCTAGTGGAAAGGGGGTTCAGCGCTGTTACCAATCTCCTAACGAAAAAAAGAAACAGACTGGACATCATTAGCCGACGAGATTTAAGATTACCCCTTACAAAATTGACGCCAAATGTTGATAATTTATTGTTAAAGCATCAGGTTCATCCTTCTCACTAAAAATATTGACTTATTGCTTATGTTATTTCATTTATAGTTTATTTTATGTTTATTGGTGTCTAACCAATAAATGCCCGCATTGGGAATAAGTGCCCGCATTGATTTTTTTAAAGAATCCCCCTTTATAGAAAATATTTTTTTTTTAAATTATTCTGAAAGTTCAAGGATAGGTACACACTAAAATTCGTTAATTTTTTGCCTATTTTTAGATAACTTAAACGTATAAGAAGCGGAATTTAATCAAACTAACAGTGAAATTATTGTAGAACATACGTTTATCTTATAATTAATAAACGAACTCGCTTATTGTACTATTTCAAGTAAAAAACTTTTTGTTTTATTATTTTTCACTTTTTTTTATTTTATCCCTCTTATTTTTTTTTCAATGCGGGCACTTATTCCCAATGCGGGCACTTATTGGTAAGACACCTGTTTATTTAATGTTACGTATATTTTAGATAACAGATACAAAATTTTATTTTGAGTAGCTTTAATTTAAATTCAATTAATAAATGTATAAATTAACATGTGTTTTTACTTTAAGTTTTTAACACTAAACTTGACTACAGTTAGAAATTTACAGGACATCAATATCAGGTAAGTAGGAGGTCTACACAACACGGAAAAACGTGGCAAGGGGTTTTACGACACAAAAAAGTTTGGGGAACTCTGATCTAGACGATGAATAATAGGTGGATGCGGATACTTTTACAAATATCGATGCTTTAGGACCCAGAAATGCAGAACGTGCTGTTTGTTTACATTTGATGTGGATTTCTAGATCACAAATTGGCAAATATTGTTTTTGATGTAAAAAAAGGTGATGAACCAGTTGGAATATGTTTTATATCCTTTTTTTTGCAAAATAACAATCGGTACATTTCTACAGGCACGTATTATGTACAACACCCTGTATGTGATATACAGACAAAACTAGATTGCCATGCATGAACAGTCGCCAAAAAGAGTGACAACATCCTACCAAGCATAATAGCTAGAAAATCGACCTACTATTTGCCGCATTCCCATTGGTCCCACATAAATAACAAACCGTTTTTTGTGAAATTGGAAAGTCTATGAAAGTTACTCTAATTCTAAAGCACAAAGACCTAATATTACATCTATAATGTACCCTTATTTATAATTTTTCACGAAATTATTCAACATTTCAATAGAAATCACTGATATTCAGAGAGCTTTGACAGCTTCTGTCAAATTGCATGTCGATAAGGCCTTTTCCTACTCGTCCAAGGGACCGTCAACTATTAATGTTGGTGAAATTGGCCATGCATCTTGTATACCTACGACTAGCGCGTTTTCCAACTTGAACCAAACATCCCTGACCTACATACACCACCTCTTTAAAACGCTTTCATTGTCACGATCACATGCACAGAAGTTTGAAGGGACTGTCGTAAAAAGTCGTGTTTAATATGAACGGCTATGATGATATATATCGGTATTTTTCTGGGCCGTATAAGAACGGTAATAGCTTATAACTCAACACTTCGTCGTAAATGAAGGCATATGCGAGCTATTATAGTACGTAAGGTCACAAAGGTGTTTTTCATACTGCTAAGGTTTGCACCCTTTACGGGCGATGGTGCAAATAAAACTCGCATAAAATGTTTATGCATCAGAAGTACCCTAAAAAGGACTGGCAGTTACTTTCGGAAATAAACAGCTTTAATAAACATTGTAAATAATATAAATCGGGCAAATATTGAAACCGTAGATTCGCGTCCCACTCATTGTCGGCAAGTGCTTCTCTATCCACTTAACGATGAAGAGTTTTTCGACTTGATCTCTTCGAAATTGAAAAACAAACATTCCTCCGGACCAGATGGTATTTCGGGATTTCTTGTAAAAAAAGTACTAAAATATATAGTGAAACCATTTGTATTTCTGGTAAATCTCTCCTTTTGCACGGGAAGGTTTCCCCAATCCTTAAAAACTGGGAAGGTAATCCCAGTTCTTAAAAAAGGAGATCCTTCAAAGATTTCCAATTACAGACCAATAACAGTTCCTTTCTGCTTCTCCAAAATCTTTGAGTACTGCTTTCTAGATAGATTGTTGAGATTCCTAGAATCTGAAAATACTTTGTCAATCAACCAACACGGTTTTCGCAACGGAAAATCGACACACACGGCCTTGCTGAGTTTCATTCAGAATATTATAGCGAGGCAGGCGAATGTCCTGTTGGGATATTTTGTGATCTCAGCAGGGCATTTGACTGTGTCAATCATGAGATACTTCTGGGCAGACTGGTTCAAGTCGGCATTGTTGGGACACCCTATAGCTGGGTTAACTCCTTTCTATCCGATCGATCACAATATGTTTGTTTACATGAAAACAGCAACAACATCTCTGAGGTGAAATCTGATGTAACGTACGTAGACATCGGCGTACCTCAGGGATCGATTTTAGGGCCTGTTCTTTTCATTCTTTACATAAATGAATTTGAACACTCTTTCTCCCAAGCCAATTTTACGCTTTACGCGGATGATGCGGCAATCATATTGTCCAGCAAATTCAATCAAGTTTAAAAAGAAGACTGTGAACATTTATTAAACAGTGTTCATGATTGGTTTAGCGCACATCATCTTCACCAGAATGTGGAGAAGACAGTAATGATGAGATTTCACAACGTGCACAAACAAATGACTCCGCTTGATCTTCGAGTTAAAGATAATCAACTAAGTGTTCTCAAAGAAACAAAATTCTTGGGCTTGTGGTTGGACGAATGTTTCAATTGCAAGGCCCAGTGTGATCGATTGGTATCCAGGTTGAACTCACAGTCATATGTGTATAAAGTTCTACGAGCCACATTGACTGGAGACCAATTAGTAACACTCTATTATGCTGAGGTAGAGTCTAGGCTGAAATATGGTTTGTGCTTCTGGGGAGTATCGACCAATGCACAACATGTCTTTTTAAGTCAGAAAAGAATTCTAAGATCTATGGCCGGAGTAAGCTCATTACATAGCTGTAGGGAGCTGTTCCAAAAGTACCAAATTTTAACGTTGCCTTCTCTATTTGTATACGAACTTTCAATATATATGTAAAAGTAGCAAATTTTAACGTTGCCTTCTCTATTTGTATACGAACTTTCAATATATATGTATCAAAATAAGGATACACAACTACTTAACAAGGATATAAATGCCTTCATAACAAGGCAGAGTGAAAATATGTATGTTCCTTTCGCCAAATACTGTGTCGGTAGTAGGTCACCTAGAGTTTTGGGGCCTATAATATATAATAAACTGACAGAAGAAATAAAAATCTGCAGTTCACTGCAACATTTTAAAAATAGATTGAAGGCCTTTTTATTAAATAAATGTTTGTACGCTGTTTCAGAGTTTGTTAATGTGTAGATGGTATGCTTGTTTCTCATATTTGTTTGTTACTTATTTTCCATGTTTGTTATAGATTTTTTATTTTTGACGAATCCTATGCATACTTATGTCTATTGGATAATAAAGGATTATTATTATTATTATTATGATTAATTTTTAAATAACAATTTACGCTAACATGCTTAAAAGTACTCCAATGCAATTAGACCAGTGATTCCCGAAAGGCTCATTGGAGTCCACGGAAGACTCAATAGAGTCTACGTTCGCGTAAAAAAGGTTCTCAAGTTGCAGGTGGGGGTTAACGAAAATTTATTTTACTGTGAGGAACAAAAATGTTCACTTGGATTTATCTGTTTCAGTAGTCAGATGATATTTTAAAACTTTAAAACTTGTATATTCGAATATTCGATTTTCCGTATGAGTGGAGGGAGATCCCATACAATTCTTTAAAAACATTAAAAATAGGCTCTTTCTGCATCGATGCAGCGCTGCCAGCGCGATTTCCAAGCATTGAAGGCGTCACGGAAGGCATTCTCCGGAATAGCCTTGAGAACCGCGGCGCATGCTGCTTGGATCCCCTCTGTCGTCTCAAAATGCTTGCTTTTCATCGGCGTTTTCAGGCGAGGAAACAATAAAAAGTCCGGGGGGGCACATCTGGGCTATAGGGCGGCTGCGGAAGCGTTGGGATGCCGGCCTTAGTCAGGTAGCTGTTCACAAGAAAGGCGTGTGCATCATAATTACAAAACTGGAAATCAAAATTTAAAAACCATCCCACAAACACGTACCACAACACATTTCAAAGAATCACCCTACTATAACTGGATCAAGTTATGCAATAAACTACCAGTTAAAATCCAGCAGGTGGATAAATATTTTCCATTTAAAAATCAATTTAAAAAATTATTAACACCAAAGGCATTTCATAGCAGTAGCAGTATATGGAATGTGCAACCTTGAGTTCGTAAAGATGGACAGATTTATATGTGTTTTTATATTTTATATTGATTTTTATTTATATTGTTTTGCATTTTATCTATATTATATAGCGTATATATATTTTTACACCATAATCATTGCTGTGTATCTAGGTAGTTAATAAATAATAAAGAATGAAGAATAAAGAATGAGGAGCTGGAGGGAAATTTAGAAAAACTATCTACTATTTTAGCTGCGGGCAAAAATACCCCAAAAATATTTTGAGGTATGGGAAATTGCGAGAGAATGTTTGATGACGTTTATCTCCTCATACCTATTCGGAAAAAAAACAGTGTTGTTACGAAAAGGAGTATTCAACATTGCAGACCAGGCAGATTTGCGTTTATTCCTTACAAAACTGCGCTGTTGATCTGCATTGCGAAAGAACTCACGTCTTACGTTACTAAGAGTAACGTTCAATTTTACTCACATTAAATCAAATCACGTTATTTTAATAAATTGTATGTACGAAAATATTTTTATTTTTACTTCTATCACTGTGTCAACTTTTATGGTTAGATCGAGTCTTAATATACTAAGTGACATATAAATCCGAACACCCAGTTTAAATGGTTTTATTTTAATAAAAGTTGGTGAATGTATTTATCTTACTGTAAAAAACAAGTGAAAAATTTTTCAGCCTTATCAGCTGGACATTCCGGTTTTTATACTGCTTTTTTTTTTTAATTCACTAACGCTCTAAAAATGAATATTTCAGCCGCAGTAAAGAATCAACGTTGGCGGATGTTGGTTCTTGACATCCTTTACGATCGGTTACGATGCCTAGAGTACGGAGACCTGTACGATTTCGTCAACTTAGTGAGTTTGATAGGGCCGTATAGTGGGACTTCGGGAAGCTGGACTTTCTTTTCGGGCAATTGCAGTTAGAGTGCAAAGAAGTGTAGGCACTGTGGTTAGGTGTTGTTAGGCATAGCTTCGAGAAGGCCGTACGCAAAGAGCAAGGGGCACTGGACGCCGCCGTAGAACAACAGACCGTGAAGATCGCCGCCTAAGGTTATTGGCCTTAAGGGACCGTTTCTCCACTACCAGGTCCATTGCAAATGAATGGTTTGCAGAACACGGAAGACCTATTGGCATGCGAAGTGTTTACCCACGAATAAGAAGTTTTGGCTTGTTTTCATACCGGCCACGCTGGGTCCTCCCTTTAACTCGAGAACACCGACGTAATCACCTTGAGTGGTGCCGACAACGGTCACTCTGGGATCAGGAATGGAACAGTATTGTCTTTAGTGACGAGTCTCGATTTTGTTTAGGCATGCACGATGGTCGTGCCAGGGTTAGAAGGCGACGTGGTGAAAGGAGGAATCCACAGTTTTTTGTTGAAAGACATGTTCATCACACTGTTGGAGTTATGGTTTGGGGTGCTATAGCTTATACGAAGTTCTAGAACCCCATTTTTACCCTATCTTGACACCCTGGCAGATCCAACTTTTCAACAAGATAATGCCCGACCACATGTTGCAAGAGTCACAATAGACTTCTTTCAACATAATGATGTCATATTGTTACCATGGTCACCAAGATCTCCCGACTTATCCCCAATTGAGCACGTGTGGGATATGATGGGTAGGAGATTGCTCAATTTGCAACGTCCTCCTCAGACTCTAGAAGCACTTCGAGAGGAGTTGGTGGTTGCCTGGAATGAGATACCACAGGAGGACATTGACCACCTGATCAGAAGCATGCCTAGGCGCGTTGGAGAATGCGTAGCACATCAGGGTGCATCCACACATTATTAAAGGTCAAAGGGCTTTAAAGCAGTGCAATCATTTTGAAATTTTTATCATTTACTTATTATGCTTCATTAAGTACTTATACAAAATTTGATTAAAATAAAACCATTAAAACTAGGTGTTCGGATTTATATGTCACTTAGTATACTTTTTGACCAGCTTCTGGAATATGGTAGAAATGACAGAAGGAGGGCACCGAAACAAGCAAAATGTTTAGGGTTGTCTACGAGAAAAAAAGTTTGGGAACTACTGACTTAGATGGAGCAAAAACTTAGCATTCGTGGGCAAAATTTTACAACCCGATATTTGTTTTCATAATCAGGCTTTTTTTTAACATGACTCAAGAGATTGTCGGGCGATCACCTGGTGCAAAGGAAAATGTTGAAAACAGATTTTTTGTGCCTCCTATGGGAACAAATGCAATCCCCTAAAGAGTACTGCTTATGTATAGAAGTAATTAAAATACTTATCGGAAGCCCGACAATTGTGCGCCGTACATAAAGTACACTAATTTCCTCCTGTCGGATACATGGTAGTTATAAGACTAGTAATGAATAATTTTAGGAAAACTAACATTAACCGAAGTCATTGAGTGTACAAAATTTCGAATATACAAGGTGTTTCAGTTTATTGTTGCATAACTTTAAGATTCGATAGAACTTTTAAAATTAATGCATAAAGTCTATATAAACATGCGTGGCTTTCGGAATACAGGGTGTTTAAATTTACTTTCTAAAACACTTTTTTTTAAATATTTACCGAACAATATTTGATGTATAACAGTGAAAATTGGTATACAAGGGTTTTTTGGTACGACAAAACGAACCATGGGCATAGTTTTACTGTCGCTGCTAGAGGGCGCTCTCTACTGTGCCTGCAGTGTATTAAAATAACCGACAATTTTTCTTAGTGCAAATTTTTGCTTTTTGAATAAAAAAACTAATTCTTTGCACTTTTCAACATAAAAAAGCTCTCTTATGAATTTCCGTTATACTTAGCCGTTTTTGAGATATTTCGATTTTTAAGGTTCGATGCATTTTTAATTATTTATGATAAAATAACGTTAAAAAGTCAGTATCCCGATAATTTTTAGAAGTAGGCTGTACCTGCAAATATTTTTGAAACTGAAAGCAGAATAAGGTTAAACTTCAATTAGTTGACAGTTAGTTTTGTTGTCTGTTGAAACCTGAAACGTTTTTTTGCAATTGTGAATGCACGAAATTCAGTTTCTTTTACCTGTTTTTTTTTGTAAGTTTTATAAAAATGCCATTTTTATTCTCCAATCAAGAGTTAGCGGATATTCATTTTGTGTATGGCTTTGTAAATGGAAACGCAGCAGAAGCAGCCAGAGAATACGCACGAAGATTTCCAAACAGACGACATCCAACTGGCTCAGTATTTGTAAGAGTGCATCGCCAAATAATTGAAAATGGTTTTGGAAATCTCCAAAGGGATCAAAACATAAATGTTCGTCAGCGCAGATTTACCCGTATGATTCTGCGTGGGTTTGATAGAGATCCGACCACAAGCGTTAGGAGAGTTTCTGGTGCCTTGGGAATTTCAGCAAGCCATGTTCACTGTGTTCTTAGAAATGACCATAGACATCCTTCCCATTTGCAATCTGTGGAAGGACTACAGCCCGGGGACGGAGAACGAAGAATCACATTTTGACAGTGGATTCTTGATAGAACTGATAATAATAGGGAGTTTTTAAGTAACGTTTTATGGACCGATGAGTCATGGTTCACTAAACGTGGAGTGGTAAATTTTCATTATCAACATATTTGGTCGCATGAAAATCCGCATGCAGTTCGAGAAAGAAATTTTCAGCATGAATTTAGTGTGAACGTGTGGATTGGTATCTACCGTAATCGACTATTTGGACCCTACCTTTTGCCTGCAAGGTTAAATGCTGCGACCTTCTTGGAATTTTTAAAGGCTGAACATGCAAATTTGTGGGATGATGTGATGTTAGATTTAAGAAGATTATCCTGAAAGATGGATCGGCCGTGGACGACCAGTCGCCTGGCTTCCACGATCCTCTGACCTAAATCCATTAGATTTCTTTGTGTGGAGATTTCTAAAAGAAAAAGTGTACCAGACTCCAGTAACCACAAGAGATATGCTAATAGACAAAATCAGGAATGCATGTGATGAAATAAGGCCCTATTTGAATAATCCTATACCACGTTCGATCATTCGTAGATGTGAATTGTGTATGGAACAATTGGGTTTATATTTCGAGCAACTACTTTAGATTTTGTATGTTTGTCCTAACTATCCAATAGGATTTTAGTTGTAAATAATTAATTTAATTTGTTAAAAATAATATTGGAAAATTAAACAAATTAATATTGTTTTTTTTGTTTATTTGAAGTTAGGAATTATTGCTGTGTTTAAAAACACAATCTAAACGGTCATCTTAATTACTTGTAATGTCCAAATCGAAAATGTAAAAAAAATATTATTTTCTCATAAATAATTAAAATTGCGTCGAACCCTAAAAATCTAAATATCTCAAAAACGGCTAACTATAACGAAAACTCACAGGAGAGCTTTTTTATGCAGAAAAGTGCGTAGAATTAGTTTTTTTATTCAAAAAGCAAAAAATTGCACTAAGAAAAATTTTTCGGTCATTTTAATACACTACAGGTACAGTAGAGAGCGCCCTCTAGCGGCTACAGTAAAACTATGCCCATAGTTCGGTTTGTCGTGGCAAAAAACGCTTGTATACCAATTTTCACTGTTATAAATCAAATATTGTTCGAAATATTTAAAAAAAGCTATTTTAGAAAGTAAATTTAAACACCCTGTATTTCGGAAGCCACGCATTTTTCGAGCCATGTTTATATAGACTTTATGAATTAACGACTGCGACCCATCGGCTAGACCGCGACACAAGTATTGTATCCAGATACGCGTCTGCTGAAAATATTTCCCTACCTTCTTAAATTTTAAGGGAAAATCTATGATGTGTAAAATATATCTGAAAGCTGCGTATACATATACTAACATAAAAAAATTGAGATACACCCTCCCCCTACAACCTCATCCCAAAATTTCTAACTCCTCTGAATTTATTTCTGAAAATGAGCAGGAGCCTCCTAAAACGACAGAAAACTAGATTAGAATGATGTTTATTTTGTTCGTGTTTTGCTGCTAGCTCCGCTGCCACTGGGCTGAAAAACTAAAAAGCTTTTTTGTCCTAAGCATATTAGCAACTGTGAAAATCTCATCCAAATCCGAGTGGCACTTTCTAGGTCATAGACGGGCCAAGGATTAGCAGATAGACCGACAGGTAGACAGACTGACAGACAAACAGACCGACGGTAGCATGGTCGTTTGTGTACATCATCTAATATCTAAACAAATATAATATTTTTTAGAATGTGCAGAAAAATCATAGCTGATTAGTACATTTTATTCTATTATTGGATTTAAATAGGCTGGATATACAGTGTGAGTCTTCATAAAGTGCACATAGCAAAATCAAGGAAACTACACCTTATTTTATTGACGGAAAGATTAAAAAAAAAAAAATTAAAAACAATAATTGATTTTTTATGAATATTTTAAAATTTTTATAGTCAGCTGCTAACCCTATTTAAATAAATCGTTACAACTTTTAAACTGAATGTCCTATCATATTGGAATAAATTTTTTAGTGATTGCAAATAATAGGCCGAACCAGTAAAGTGAAAATTTCCACGAAATTAAATGCTATAAATTTAAAATAAAGAGGAATATGCTGAAACTCACTATTTTTTCAATGATTTTTAAAACAATTGCTAAATTTCAATAAAAATTGTCCTATTTACCCTACCTTTTTTAAATGTTAAGTTATTCTACATGTTATTAGCTTCCTAATGGTGAAAAATTGTAAGTTTATAACTTAGATACAAGTTTTTAAATCAGCGTTTCAAAAAGCAGTGAACTGAGTTCAACGCCAGAGTGGGAATAAAACAACAGTATTAACCTACATGAATCATTCATTATCTTTAACAAATAAAATCAAATAGACTTGTCTATAGGATAATCATTTTGTCTTAATGCATCAAATGTTCAAAATGGCCACCCCGTTGCTGCAAACACATTGTAGCGCGAAGTGAAATTGGATGAGTTGCCCTACGAATCATCTCGGGATCATTTTTGATTTCGTTTGCAACACGCAAAACTCTTTCTTCAAGTTCCGCTTCGCTGTTTATGGAACTGTTGTACACCCTTTGTTTCATTGTCCCCCATAAAAAATAGTCGAGAGGTGTGAGATCTGGGGAACGCGCCGGCCACCCAACAGGTCCTTGTCGACCGATCCAGCGGCCTGGATAATTTTCATTAAGAAAAGACCTGACAATCAGCGAGTAATGGGCAGGATATCCATCCATTTGAAGCATCATTCTTCGATGGGTTTGCAGCGGCACTTCTTCCAACAGCAAGGGCAGTTCAGTCCGCAAAAGCTCCAGAAATCTCTCTCCGTTTAATGTCCTCGGGAGTATTATTGGACCAATCAAAAAGTTGTCAATCAGTGCGGCCCACACATTTACAGAAAATTTCACTAGAAATGTTGAAACCCTTTTCAGCCTAGGGTTTTCATCTTTTGGGCACCATTTATGTAAATTACGACAGTTCACGATGCCGTCTCTCGTGAACTGAGATTCATCTGTCCACAGAATTATTTTCGGGAATTCAGGATTGTCTCTTGTTTTTATCAAAATCCATGTAGACATAACGCACCTTGGACGCCAATCCACATCTTCATGCAAGTGCTGCACCCTTTAATAATGGTGTGGATGCAACAATGCTGTCCTCCAGATGCGCCAAACCGATTTCTGGGATACGCCATGACGTAACGCCAAACGTCTCGTACTAGTAGTCGGGTCAGCAAACAAATCATCCAAAATGGCTTCTTCGATAGCAACATGAATAATAACACCTGGTTCGCGGCGATCTCGAGGCAAACCAAGTCCAGTGTTAGCCAGTCTTCTATGTACTTCTTGGAAGTTACGGGC